ATGAAGAACTGAGATCAGCAATCAAAATTTGAAACCCCCATATCAAATTCAAAAACCCACCTTCGAATTCAATTTAATTGCCTTCTGGATTGGAAAATGCAAAGAAATTGAAAATTGTATGATGGATTCTTTACCCTAGAGTTGGTCCAAGCTGCCTCCTCCTCCTTGCCTCTAAACTCTAGTTACCACCCATAAAAACCGCTAGAAGGTATAGGGGTAGTTTCCTACAGTTTCGAATGGGAAAGAGCAAAAGGACATGTGGAGCAATCGACAATGGATATTGATTAGTGGTAGTTTCTGGCCGTTTCCGATGGAGTAACGGCAGCACGAAAGTGGAAGGTAATGATAAAACGTCTTCGATGATTGTTATTTTGGACCAGCCAAGCCCATTAAAGCTGAAGTGATGAGATGATAAGAATTGATGATATGGTCGGAGTCTTTTTTATTTTCTTATTGTTTTATTTTTCATTTTCCTTTTCTTTTGGGCCGAGCCTTATTCAGTTTTGGGCAATTAAAAAAAAGAACGGAATGGAATAACTGTACTGGGCCATAAGGCCATGAAACTTTTTTTTTTTTAATTTGTAATAATTAATTAAATTGATTAATTAACTGGAGCATTCTTTCTTAGAAAAATTTTTTTTTGCAAGCATTATTTTAGCTAAAAGTAATAGTTTTGTTAAAAAATAAATAAATTTATTAACCGTCAAAATCCCCTTTTATTCTGTTTTTGGTCATAGACTTTATTTTGTTGTTTTTAGATTATACCTCAATTTTCTTTAAATTTGTCTCCATTGAAATAAATTATTACTTAAAAAATATTGATTTCATTTATAATTAAATTTTTTTATCAAATCACCTTAAATTTTTGTTTAGAATGCAATTTTATATTTTTTAAGAGTAATAGTTTACCTAATTTGATAATAAATATATATAAAAAAATTTTAATATTTAAATAATTTCATTAAAATATGCATTCAATATACACGCGCCTAGTCTAGCGCCTTTCGAGCAGTTGCATAGGTGTGTTTCCCCAATTCAGCAGACCTTTTATCTGCAAATTTTGTTCGAGAAAAGCAATTATGGTTCCCCAAGAGTGGCTTGTTGAAGACGAGAGCGCCAAAGAGATGCTCGATAGGGTTCAGACGGATCGGCCCTTCTTGCTTCTTCCTCCTCTTCATCGGGTTCCTCTGCGCGTCGGCAATGTCGTCGAAATTGTTGGTCCTTCTCCTTCCGCCAAAACCCACATCTTGATTCAGGTAATCCTGCTTCAACTCTGATCCACCAGTTCTCTTTCTTTGTATTTACATTAATCTAAGTGGGGTTTTTCAAAATCGCAGGCTGCAATCAACTGCATCCTGCCTCAAGAGTCGGATGGCGTCAAGTATGGAGGACTCGGGCATTTAGTGATGTTCCTAGATTTGGATTGTCGCTTTGACATTTTACGGTTTTCGGAATTGCTCAAGCTTCGGATCTTGGAAGCCAGAGGTAAACTTCTTGAGTTTTAATCTGTAAAGAATTGTTTGGTTAGCGGTGGTGGATACTCCTAAAAAAACAAGCAGTTCCATATGAAGCTAGGAATAGTAAAAGCAAAGCTTAATGTCTAACTTTCCAAGAATACCCATTTCTTATTCGTTCCCAAATTTATCTTATTTTTATAGTTTGATGAAAGAATAGCCATTACCTCCAACCAAACATGATGCAAGGATGTAGTAATCCTTTATAGCTCGTTTGGTTTGATGGGAGTAGGATAAATTTTGCTATTTGAATAGCAAAAATTGAAGGGAAGGGAAGGCAAGGGAGGGGAGGAGCTCCCCTTTAATTTTCTTTATTATAATTTTAGCATAACCAAACGAGGGAATAGGAGGGGAGCAAAACAGAGGATGAGAGAAAAATGGAAGGATATTGTCTCCCCTTCCCTTCCCCTCCCCTCCCTTCCTCTCCCTCCGTTCCCCTGAAACCAAACATGGGGTTAGTGTTGTCGGAAATGCATACCCAAGACCTATTAGATGTTTGGTGTTATGAATTCTTCTAAAAGATTTGGAAAGACGTTTAATGTGAACTAAATTAAACAAAGTTACATGTACACAATTTAGACTATATTAAATGCCACACCCTTGTTAAGGACTTCTAAGCTAAAAGCTAAAAACTAAAAGCTAAAAACTAAAAGCTTAATATGATAGATGGTTGTTCAATGTTTTTAAATGTGTATTTCCCATGCATTCAAAGTCATTGACTTTGATGTTAGTAGACCACGCATGTGGCTTTGCAGTCATTAGACTTTCTTGCTTAGGTTTACTATGTATACTTTGTTGTGAAATTTTACTTAATTAGAAGTTTTCACAACTTGAACTATTGACTACTTGCTCAAATGAATTTACAAACTCGTTCTAGAAAAACTCAATTAAAACGTTAAATGTGCAAACACTCCCAAAATTTTCAATTAAGCCCATTTACCTCTTTTTTTTTTCGTTGTAACATTCAAAATCTTTATTTTAAATTTATGCTGGGCTTGGGGATTTTGTGGCTGTTTAGGGCAAATTGATGCTGTAAACAGTGTGCTTGAACAGTGATATAGAGTTTAAGCAGCTGTCTAAGGTATGGAAAAGAGAAAAACAAACAGAAAAATAAGGAAAAAGGTGGAAAAATCCTAGGAGTCACACCTAGATTTCTTTAGGCATCACACCTAAAGAGAAATAAAGCCCTTAAACATCACACCTAAGGCTAGTTGCATCACACAACCAAGATTTTATCACACAATTTCAAGAGAAAACTCTTGCTGCAAATTTCTGAATATTCAAGTACTTGACTCCATGATGAAAGAAGTTACAAGCATGTATATAATCCTGCGATTCCTGAATTAACAACAAATAAAACTCCTATTCTAACTGGACTAGAACTTAGTCTCAATAAAAATAAAATACCTAAAATAGTAAAAGGAGGAAAACTAATGATAACCACACACAAATAAAAATAATTACTTAAGAATCCTAAACAATCTAAATAACTCTTCCTTAGCCTATTATTGTATCTCATCACCTTCTTTATTGTGTTACTTGTGCATTAGATTTTTTTTCTTTATAACTTGATGGATGTTTATCCTTGCACATATATTCATAAACAAAAGATTTTATTGATCATTTAAAGTGTTTTTAAATGTAATCTAGGATCTAAGGATGTTGAAGCTTGGAACTATAATGAGAGAATGAAACCTTACAATGAGGAACTATTTGCATTTTGCATAAGACGGTTCATATACTTACGTTGTCAAGATAGCTTGGAATTTCTGGCTAGTCTTAAGGTGAGAAGCTATTTTATTTTATCAGCTATTATTAGTTAAAAGAATTTGAATTTAGATTTGCTCTCTCCAATATTTTATTTTGTTTTACTATATTTTTATATCACACATGCAATTGGTTATTGGCCCGTAATACTCACTGTACTTGTTAAATACTAAAATTGACAATTGATTGGAGTAATAAAGCTACTATTTTGAGCAGCTAGAAGTAACACAATATTTAATCTTCAAACTCCCTTAATGAAATTGAAAATACCCCCACAGGGATCCTGATTTCATATAAATCCCTCAAGATTGTATGCTTGACTCCCTAATAGAACGGATGGAAAACATTAGTATGTTGTTTAAAAGGTGACAACATTTAAGAGAATGGTTTATGTGGTTATCAACAAAGGAAACGTGTAGTTAACACAACATGAATATCCAAAACAAATGCAAAAGTGAAGTAACACAGTGTGGATCTCTTAATTAAAGTGGAATCAGACTATATCCTTTGAAGCTTTTATTACCTATTTGTTGTCAATAGTAATGCATTTCATTAATGATTATTAGCATCATGAGAGTAGAATAGAAAACAGGGATGCTCTCCATGTATGACAATGAAACCATTAATGGGTTAACCCTCTAAACTTGTTATGAGCAAATCTTCATGCCTTATGAACAAGATGGGTGAAAATGACAAACATAAATTTTTTGTATTCTTTTTGCATAGCTAATAGTTTGAAATAGTTAACTCAGTTAAATGAAAAGCATTGTGAACTGGTGATGAGTAAAACTTTATGCCTTTTGAGTAAATGGAATGAATGGAAAAGATGAACTTACCATTTGGATGAACTGTAAATTCTTTTTCCTTTTTGGAAATATTTAAATGATATCACTAAATTCTCAACTACTGAAGCTATTATTTTGGCCCACTAACTTCTTAATCACTATTGAGTCAGACTTAGGTTTGTGCCATTTCTCTCTGTTAAAGATTGTATGACATTTCATTTTCTTCACAGTGAAATAGGCCTTAAGTGGCTGTTTAACTTAAGGAAAGGAGGAAAAAAAAAATAGAAAACATGGAGAAAGGAAAATCCTAGGAGTCACATTTATGTTTCTCTAGGGATTAGACCTAAAGAGGATAGAACCCTTAAGCATCACATCTCAGGTTGTTCCATCTCACCTAAGGTTGGTCACATCACACAATCTACTAAGACTCCTACTAGAACTCCTATTATTGACTAGATTGATATTGAAACAATTTATAAGCATACTTATATAGAAACTACTAAGACTTCTACTAGAAGTCTAGAACTCCTATTCTAATCAAACTTATAACTTGAAATCTGAAATTCCTAATTCAACTAGGACTTAGAGTCTTGATAAAATAGAAATACTTAAATAGTAAAAGACTTCTAAGACTCTAACTAAAAGACCTAATCCTAATAAAAGTAGGAAAACTAATGATGACCACATAAATAACTCTTTCACTTCTTGTTCCTCATCAATTTCCTTAATTAACTTGATCAACCACTAATGCATCTCTAACATGTATCAACAAACATTGTTCAACTGCTTGCTAGATAAACCTTATTTATAAATTTGAAGATTATGACTTATTGATTGCTATATCTTGTTGGATGACAGACATTACATTATCGTCTTCAAAAGGAAAGGGAAGCACATGGAATTGGTGTTCGTTTCCTTATGATTGACAGGTTTTAGTTAAGAATTGAAATTATTACTGTTTTAAATATTTTTGCTGCTATTTTTTTTTATTATTGTTGGATTGTATTTTTTATTAGCTAATTTATTGGTATATTATTTATGTTGAAGCAAGAATTTTGGTCAGAGTAGTGTGTTTAAAGAGTAGTGGAAGAACAAGTGTCATAGCTGTTAAACATATATGGAAAGACTTACAGTAGAATTCTATGAAATGTTTTTCATTAGAAACCAAGTGTGATGTGTAGAAGAATTTTTTTAGAGATCATCCTTGATCTCTATTTTTGTTTCTGTAAGATCTCAAACTTACCTCATATTCTCGATTTAGCCCTTGTACATTTTAGAGACATTGCTGGGATGGACATAGACATGCACCCAAATTTTCTTAGAAAATAAAAAATCAGATACTGTAGAAGTACATGTCTGACACATTCCTTAATGTTTCAGACATGTCAGACAAGTGTCACACTCTGACCAAAAAACTTATTTAGGTTGCTTAACTTAATAGACTTTAGCAGATGACGATTCACATTACCATATAAGATTTTTCATTTTCCTACAAAATCCCTACGGTTTTAGTCACAAGAATTGTAGTGTTTGCTTTCCCTTGCTTCTTAATTGATCTTTGGAATCCTTTTATTTCTTCCTGAGATTCTCTACAGCAGTAATTCCTTCGCTAGATGCAATTGAAAAAGTAGGATAATTATATTGATGAGCTCTTTGCATTTTCCTATGAAATCCCTTTGGTTTTATTCTGGGAATTGTAGTGTTTACTTTCCCTTGCATGGTAATTGATCTTTGGAATCCTTTTAGCTTCTCTAAAAGGTAAGTCCTTCACTAGATGGAGTTGAAAAAGTAGGGATACTTATTTCAATGAGTTCTAGCCATTGGTGCTCCTCTTCTCCACTCCCAAAGACAATTTTTTTTTTTTTTATTTTATTTTTCTATTCTTGTTTTGTCCTAATTATAAAGGGGAAATTGCACATAACCAAACTTTGGCCTTGGGCTGGTGCACATAAAGCCTCAAGGTTTCAAAATGTTCATATAACCTATAGTGGCTTTGAGTGGGTGTACATTTAAGGTATTAAAATGAGAACATAACCACTTCACTTATTACCCCTTAGGTTACATGAAATACCCTAAATGTCCTTAAATTTCTTTTCATTTTCCTTAAATATTTTTTTCTTTGGGCATTTAGGACATTTCATGTAACCTTAGGGAGCAATGTGCTCATAATGCAAACTTTAGGTGATTATGCGCACATTTTTAAATCTTCT